GGCTGTGTTGCATAAGGTTGGATAAACACCCTTCAAAATTTGCTTCCTAAAAGTGAAAGCAGATTGGAAGACTGGGAGATCATGCTGATCTCTGGAGGTCCCATCCAACCCTTGCAATTCTGTGATCTCTGCCCTAAAACTGGATAGGAAGAACACAATTCATTTATCCTTTTTCCTTGACAGCTTTGTTTTTTTCCTACTTAAAAGCTAGAAACAACAGAGGTCCTATCTTCTGCGTATCTGAGAAGCCTCTGCAGTATCAATCTGTTGGTGCTCTCCTTGCACACTCAGTGCTGGTCTAGTTTTTCCACACGGAGGATACACTCCTGATTTCAGCACAGCAAGGGTTCAGGTGGCTTTGAACACTGCTGAAGCTTCATCTACAGCCCCCAGACTTTTTTGCCTGCTCTCATTACTTCAAATGCTTTCTGAATTTTCAAGAGAAGTATTGATTCACATTAATGTGGTGCATGAGCATGACTCGCTGCCATCATTTAATTCTCTTTTTTTCAGTGGGAAGGGTGAAAACACATATGGTAGCTTTTCATCTTTTTTTTCTGAATGCTTTATTTATTTTTAAGTGGGAAGGGACAGCTGTGACAGGCGAGCAAAATAAGCAAAAAAAATACACCCAAGGCCTGTCAAAAGGATTGCTATGGCAAACTTTGGTTCTCTTTTCAGGTCTGTCACTTAGCACTTGTGTTAGATTAATGCAAAGTATCGATCTGACAAGAAACAATTCTGCCAAACTAAGTTAGTTTTAAAAAATATGGTGAGTTATGTATTTATGCTAGCAGGTTTTCTGCCAGACTGAAAATCATCCTCCCTCTTATAGCTGCTGCAAGTGAAAAAGGCAGCATCAATTCAGCATCTAGTGTGCTCTGGCTAATTTGACAGAAGAGTATTCATGCACCTGAGCCTGATCCAAGTCAAATGGGTAATTCTTCAGGATGCCATAGCTCACAAACCTGAAAGATCTTAGGCAGATGCATGTAAAAGCTCTTTCCTTTCTCACTCCTAAAGACAGATGCCAGCGTGTTAATATTTGCTGTAACTACTCTGAGATTCCTAGAATAAAGATGTATTTATAAGTAGAAATGTTTATGGTGATGGTCTACATAGAATCAAGTTTCAATTTCCTGTGCTCCAAAAATACTTCCTTGAAATATGCAGGGCGCTTCATGGTTGTCCAAAATAGCAACACTCAAAATAGAGCTCGGATGCCAATATGCTATCTAGAAGAAAAATTAAACTGATCCTAGAGTGTGGAAAATGAGACTCTTTGTTTTTGCCTGTCTCAGTGTTTGGTCACTGTTTTCACATTAGGATTGAAGTTGAAGGAGATGAAAGCTTTTTGAGACTGGATGCTTACCAGAAAGAACGAGGCTAAATTAAAAGGATTTTACCTTTTAATTGAGCTTCACATCTCTGGGAGTATGCCATTTCAGCATCTGTTACTGGAAAATGTTCATTTCAGCCTCAGTAATCCCTCAGACAGTGAAGCAAAACTCACTGATCCTTCAGTCTGCCAGAGGATGATGGTAGGGGCAGGATCTAACAGTAACCATATATAGACAGATTTGTCTCCAGCTAATTAATTTCAGTGTTGGCTCCTCTTAAAACCAAATCTGCCTGGCCAGGAAGGTGCAAACACTTTTAAATCAGTTGCTAGCTGTCTTTAAAATGCATGTAAATAAAGGTTACAACTATTTGGATAAGAGGTGGAGCTGAATCTACTGTAGTTGGTGCTCTTCAGTTCTGAGGCTGAAATTCAGAGAACTAGAAAGAATCATAGAATCATAGAATCATAGAATCACTATGGAAGTGCTGAGGAGGTGAGCAAAGAAAAGTGTAAAAGTGTAAAAGTTGTGCAATCTGGAAAATCGCGCTCACGGCTGACTTAAAAGATTGTCATGGTAACACAAGCGCACAAAATGCTAAGTCCAAGCCCTACTTGAAGGTCTGAGACCCAGGATAAAGAATAGACTATTATTACTGTGTAAGTCGATTCAGGATCGCATAAATCAAAGCTTCAGAGCGAGGGGTCTGTGTTTCCTTTGATGGTTAGGGAGCTCAATAGTTGCTTTCATTCTGACATCCCGTAAGCTAACATTAGTTATGTTGATAGTCTTTGCTGTAAACTGTACAAATAGAGGAGACTGCATATGAAAATACATTATAGCAGCTTTGCAGCTTGGGCCACAATCTGATTGTCAAAAAGAACAAGACTCCCTTATGCAGTGACAAGCAGTGCATAATGAACTCCAATCTCAGGCTCTCTTTAGACTACAATGGGCTTTTTCTTTCCTCAGCTGAGCATTAAGAAAGCACCGATTCATTTCTATACGTACAGGATGAGGCCAAAAGACAGCAGGTTTGGGAGCGTGATTGATGGTTCAACAAACTCATAATATGTTCTGATAGATGCAGAACTCGTGTTTCCCTAGGCACACAAGCTCTTTCCTGATGTGTCTCCACAGGACTTTCTTCTGGAGAACTGAAAGTATCTCACAGGAGAGAGAGACAGTGGAGGGCCGGAGCTTTGTATACATAACTCTGGATTACTACAGTCGTTAATCATTGACCAATGGTCCACACTGGTCAGTAAGATGCATGCTAGCTTCCCATGCATTTTGCTGACCAAAGAATAGTTTTGGAAGAAACAAACAAGTGAATATAATCTTTGTTCACGGATGTATGTGCATGCACTAGAATACCGTAACGTAAAAATCAACTTTGTCCTCTGCTGGATTACTCTAGTCTGAAAAATAAAAGAGTGGTGAAAACAGTCAGATGTAAAGATAACATACAGGTCAAGGCAGATCAGTGTGGTGAGCAGTAGACTTGGTAAATGATGAGTTATCACATCATGATGATGTTACAGTTCATGTATATCCAGTAGGCAGCTATAGGCTGTCCTGAGGTACTCTGGATTTTAGCAAAAAAAGCATAGTGGACATCAGGTTCTAGCAGGGGTCTGAATGCTAAGAGGATAAAATGGTGTGGGGCTCTGTTTCCATGCAAAGAGAGTGCCAGGTAGGAAAAATTCTTGGGAGCGAGACAAGGGAGCAAAGTAAGACTGGTTATAAATGTTACACTGCAGTGGCCCACACAGAGCTTCATGAAAATGAAGGTAAATGCTTTGGTATTCAGAAGTACCCTCCAGTCATTCACTAAGGTCTGCAGTAGTATTGGAAGGAGGGCTGGGGTGAATTCAAGAAGTGAGATTCCTACCAGGGAACTTTCCACTCTGAGAGCAGGAATCCCAGTCTGTTAAGCTGTCTTTCTCACACATGGGAAGTTTTTTCCTGCTTTGGAGAGGATCTAGAGGGCTATTCAAGCAGATGAGGAGACCAGGACCAGGAGGGAGAGAGACCTATTGCTGGTCCCATTGTGTTTTATTGCAGGCTGAATTCGGGCACCTTTGTGTGCGATCCACTTCTCCTTCATGGTAAATTTTACATAGGTATTAACTCTCTGCAGGCTGTGTCACACATTTTATTTTCCTCAGCATAACCACTTCACTTTATGGTAGTCCCAGATGCTATTCCAAGAAAAATACCTTTTGCTAATACTCATTCTGTTCTGGCACCTGGCTTAAGCTGTTCTGGCAAAAAGTAAGCTGGTGTGAGCTGTATCACCGCTAAGTGGTTTTGGTCAGACTGGTTTGACAATATTTCTAATCTTTCTTAAGAGTAGACCAAATATGGCTCTGCCAGAAGTCTGGGAAGGAGTCTCCAAGGAGAATGTGACTCATTCGGAAATTGAGGTGGGCCCCAGACGAAAATGTGATTCAAAGTTGGTTGAGTGTAAAAAGGCAAAAAAGATAAGGCTTTATGAATGCACCGATTTGTAATACAGCTTCTCCTATTAATTTCTTGTTTCCCATGTCATGCCAGGTTTATTGCTTCACTGTCTTCACAAAAGACTAAACACTCTCTTAAAAAGAAAAATTCTCACCCTGAATCATTTTGTTTTATTTTCCATATCCCAAGGCACTATTTTCTAGGACTTTTAATGCCAGCATAAATCTCCACAATTACATCAGCTTTCTATGGAGTAAAACTTGTGCGAGCTGAAAATCAACCACCCTGTCTAGCTTGGAAAATTTTTCATTGGGCTAAGGCTTTAGAAGAGTATAAATTACAATACATTATTTCATTCAAATTCAAACACGGTTTCATGCTCTGAGTTAAGGCTATTTTGCTGTGAGCGGTAGGTCTGACGAGGCCTGGGGAATATTTCTAAATCAGACTCCAACTTTGTGATGAATCCACCCCTCTGTAGCGCTCTGCTGGTTTTCTTCTTGCTCTTGGTATTCTATTTTATTTTGTAATATTCGCATTACTAAAATAGTAGAAGCAGATGGTATTATCTAGATATCGAGCAATTAGGCTTGAAGGATTGGAGGCAGACTTCTCTACCCTTGCAGCTGAGGGTGCAAGCTTGCTTTTTTTTCAGATGAGGACAAGCAGAATGCAGTGTCAGCTTCAGTGAGGGTATTATTTCCCCAGGCAGCTCTGAAGAGCTCCTATGGGATGAAAGCTACCACTCAGTTCCCTTGGCTCCAGGTATCCTCTCACCACAGCACCGAAGTCATTTCAGAAAAATACTAAATAAATTAAAAAATTGAATGCAAAGAACTGAGTATAATCCTTCTGGTTCAAAAGGGATGAAGTTGCTGTGAAACTTAGGCATTTTTATCTTTAAGAAGGTCCCGAAAACTGTAAGTTATTTTGATTTTATGTATTTTTTTTAAATCTGGAAAGATAAGATGTGAGCAGTTAGCACTGACACCTCTTCTGTTTTCTTTAAAAGATGATCTTGACCATCAAGTTTATGGTGGAGCGCCCCTTTTCAAATAAGCAACAAAACTGAATTAAAAACACTGTCTGAAAATCATACCTTGCTGCATCTTTCTTCTTGTCTATTGTAACAAATAAGTCCAGCAGACTTTTGGGAAAATTAAATGTTGGCTTCTTTATTTTTAACTTTTCTAGATGAAACAGAGGCGCATATTGACTATGAAGATAATTTTCCTGATGACAGATCGATACCTGTTGCTGAGAATGAACATGCCAATGGCAAAGAGGAAATCGAGCAGGAACAAGAACAGCTTTCTTTCAGTAAAAATTCAGAGGAAGGAAGAACTGGAAATACTAATGGGGTTACTCAGGACGTAGATACTTCTGAAAAAGGAAGCAGGGCACCAACTGAATCCCCCGTTTCTCTCCTAAGCCAAAAAAACTTGTTTTGGTTTCCATCAGAGGCTTTCAGTGAGCCTGAATCAGAGAAAGAGACAGACGATTCCACTAAAGCACAGTTTTCTGAGGGTGATAATCACATCGGAGTCAAGACAGTGTATGATGAACCCAGTGCCAAAATGTTCTATGATAGTGAAGATTTCCCCATTGGGCCCATTCTCACAGCTAATGATACAAAGGAAGGGATAGATACAGTTCCTATTACTGATGAGTCATGGTTAGATGGCTATCCAGTAACACAAGAAGTGGTAGAGGATGATGAAGAGGAGGGGGATAAAGTTGATGGATCGATGGGAACAGAGGAAGACATTATCCTCACGACTGACCGACCAAATGACGTTGAAGTCAGAAAATTGGGCAATGGTAGCCCTGCTCCAGAGGAAGGTTTAACACAGATTGTGGCAGCAACAACGAGCATAGATGATGAGAGGGTCAAAGAGACGTCAGTGCCTCTTACATCAGTGAGTGGTCTGGAGGACTTAAGTGTGAGCAGAGGTTATGATGATGCTGCATGGGACCACCCAACTACAGCTGTGGAAACTGTGACTCAGGAGCCCGGTACAACACTGCTGTTGGATGTAACCAGCCTAAGAACTTCCATGTCTGAAACCTCTGCGATGGCCAGCCCCTTCGATCATACTCCTGAGGAAGAAGAAAGGGGAACAACAGCCTACCCAGCACAAGTAGCAACCACTGCACCAGCTCCAGATATCCTTACTGGCACATCATCCCCAGAGTTAGATGAGCAAGAAAATCTCACCCAGGGCCTTGGAGAAAAGCCAGTCCCCACTTCTGAACCTTGTGAGGGAGAGGATTGCCCCAAGTCAAGTAAAGGTGCTGTCATAGCAGTAATTGTGATTCTCCTGTGCTTGTTACTGGCTGCAGCTGTGCTGGCTGTGTGGTTTTTCAAAAAACGGCAGCAGAAAAATTCTGTCTATAAACTGAATGGAAGGTGTCAGCCCCGGCATCACTGTTACCACCACTACCACCACCAACATATTGAAATGCAGAAAGTCTAACCAAGGGTCTTCTGGGAGAAAAGCTAGGTATCAGCAGAAGGTATTGATGCTAGAAGGATCACATGACTCATGGATACTAAAATCCAGCAGTGCAGAAAGCAGAAGAAGACAAAATGCTAAAAGAACACAGAAGACAGACGAGATTTCATCTGTTTGAAATTGCAGTTTAGCATATCTGACCATTCAGAACTAAAGAATCTGTATGTTTTTATCAAAAGATCTTTTGGAGTCATCAGCAGGACACAGTGTGCTTGCTAGGACATCTACAGTTTGTTCTGCTTTTACATTTTGCTCCTATTAATAATAAATTAATTGATTAATTTCCATGCTACCTGATTGTAATCTAATGGCAGGGCTGGTCGGGCCTTCTTGGACTACTCTCAGTGGAACAGAGAAGGGAGGAGGGGAAAAGGATGTTTTTGGAGTAACTGCACATCTGGCGATTGTTCCTTTTTTGAGAACCTGATCAAGCTGGTCAGGATAAACCACCATAACAAATTATTGCCTGACGTGTCTTAAAAAGCAAAACTATTTGCTACCGTACTTTAATGGATAGTATTGCAGTGATTACTAAGGTACTTTTCTTCAATGATACGAATTTAACAAGCCAAAAACCATTAAGGTATTTCTATGGAAGGTGCTCTTTTAGCCTTAGTGAAGAAGTGCCATTCTTATACTAATCTTTTTATAGAAATGATAATGCCTCCCTGGAATTCAGAGAATACTGTATGGGCCGTTCTTCCTTTAATATCAGCTGAAGAGGACTCGGAGCACTGATTTCAGATGTTACGATGAATAGCGTCGTATTACAGAGCAGATGGTGATGAAGCACTTTGCAGGGGAACCAACCTGAATATGGTGGTGACTGACCAAGATACTGAATTTCAATTCAAAGCCAGCAGTACCACTGGCAGTCGAAGCCACGTCTCATGTTTCTGCCCTATGAACTCTGTGCAATGACTGATTTTCACCATTCTGCTTTTTCATCAGATGAAAAGGTGTCTGGAGGGGACAAAGGCTGGCATGGGAGATGGGTATTCATACGGAATGCTGCTTAAAGGGAAAATGAACTTGGGGAAGGGAGAAATTACATCCAGTTGATAAGAGTCAAGTTTTTGCATTTTAAACTGGATGGTAGTATACAAAGGCAGACGTCTTTTCAAAAGCATGTTCCATTTCAAATGGTTTTGAAAATGACCGTGGAAGGAGAGGAATATGTTTTCTAGAATCCCTCAGAATAGTTCTAATAGTGTCTACTATGAAGTACTTCCTTACCTTTCTGAATGAGCAGGAAAAAGTCTAGCAAGTGTGAATAACCTCCAAATCTTAAGTGATGCATCCACGGCTGTCCTGCACAACCCCAGCCAAGATGCTCAAGAAGTTGAACTCAGCAAAGTACTGGAATAAGGAAAGGTGACTTGGCAGAGTTCATTCAGGTTCATGATCTGTTCTGAGTCACGCTGATAACCATCCCTAACTCCATGGAAGGTAGACTTTGTGAAATGGAGTGCAGCACTTGGCCTGTCACAAATACAGCCATCATTCCCAATGCTGGTAAGGAAAACAAAGGGTTTTTTTTAAAAGAACAGATAGAAGGTATCTTGGAGAATTGGACCTCAGAGTGGTAAGAATCTAATGGCCTGGCAAAAGCCAGAGTAAAGAAAGAAGAGCAGACACTGTACAGATTTGTAAATACTGTGTTCTCTGACATATGCATGACTGTGCTTTTAATGCATTCTAGAATACGAAATAACCTAGAATTTCTGTTGTAAACTATTTTTTTATGCGGCAGTGTTTTTAAAAAACAATGGATTTAGCACTAAGGAACTTTATGGAGACTTAATTTGACTAAAACGTACCTTGTGTAATCTTGTGGAAATGTGCTGAAAAATAAACACAGGAACATCCATTAAAATATTGTTTAACTGAATGGTACAAGTATGTGTTGCAGTTCTATGAAGCATCACTCGAAATGAAAAGTCAGTAGTGTTTGGCTCAGGAACTGGACTGTAAAAATGAGACTCAAAATATAATTATGACCATAAACTGCACAGGGATGTGATTTGAGGCACAGAAATCACTTGTTGTTCATGAACCAGAAAAAAGTGCACATTAACATAGAGCTTTGGAGGTATTTAAATAAAAGTCAAGTTACAGAAAAGGGAAAGAAAATGGCTGTGTGTGTTCTTGTGTGAATCATCCAGTTTACCCACGTGTTTCTGAAGGAAAGTCTGTCTCTTGGGTCATTCTTGTACAAGGCATTCTGATATTAAAAGATCAGCTGAAAAGCATTCAGTTCTACTCAGAAAAGCATCTACTCCTGTCCAGCAGCATCTGCTTGTGGTCACAGTTTTTATTTGACCACAGTGATGCATGGAGTTTGGGAAAATGAACAAAAAGAGGGATGAACAGTCCATGAATGATACATTAGATTTCTGTGTGTGTAACTTGGCTTAGCAGTGACAGAAGGGATGGGAAAAAAACAAACAAACAATATGGCATGGTAAATACAGAATGAGAAGATGGTAATGCCAAAATAGAGGGGTGAATTGCCCTGTACGGGTGGTCAGAGCTAAAAGTGCTGGGTGTTGGTTGGGGTTAGGAAGGGAAGAATCGCAGGGGGAAATATCAGGTGTGATTTTTCTGAAGATACCTGCTCATAAGGGGATCGATGTGTTGTCCTATGATGAAAAGCATGTATTATCCTCTTGTAGGGAAGCCACATGTTACAACATGCTGTCTGTCAACTCGCAGGCATTACAGCTATCATTTTCTACCTTTCTCAGGCAGAATTCTGGGGTTCGAGCCCTTGAAACCAACAGATGTTTGCTCCCCTTTATGCAGAAACATCGGAATCGCAAATTATTGAGACCCTTTCCTTTACTCCGTGGTTGTGATTGCATTTGCCAGCTAGGTGATATGGTTTATTGCATATTGCACTTCAAAAGTTACTATGTTGAGGATTTGCTGCCACAGGCATAAAGACAGCACAGATTGATTTTTTTTTTTCTCCAGTGAAAATAATTCAGTGTTTTCTATCTTAACACTACAAATTACTGGCTGTATATCGCAATACTAGCTGTGAAATATCATCGCATATAGCAGTGAATGGCCATCTTAAAAATTAGTCATAGCAAGAAATGTTTTGGTAGTTGTAAGACATATCAGGCTGCAGGGTTGTCACCAGCTCAGGACGATACGCAAATGTTTAATGCCTTTTTAGATGAGTGCTAATAAGAAAGGGATAAAGGCAGAAAGCCCCATTGTTCTCTGTAAAGTTAGCAGTCACATAATGCTGCCGCTCGGACTCCGGTATTTCCATCTGCAAGTAACGAAGTTCCATTACTTTGCAGAAGTCATCAGTAAAAGACCATATTTGTTACTTCATGCTACTTAAAAGGTCTGCCCAAAAGCTACATCAAAGGGAAGAAAAAGTTAAAAATAATCAAAGAGAACTTAGTTTTTTTTCTACCAACCGAAAAGTTTGCGTTTATAAACTTAAAAAGGCGCAGAATTCTCTGCAGAATTCAGTTTCCATATATCATCAGCACTGCAAGGAGAGAGAAGAGAGGCGGGAGGAGAGATGGGCGTCTAAACCACGGAATGTTTCCTTGCCAAAAATAAATAAATAAATGGCTATCTATTTATTCTGATATTTTTTTTCCTAAGCACTGAAGAGGACTTAAGATACAAAACGTTGGTTTGCTGGGGTGTGCAACCCAACTCACTTTGGCTATTTCTTACTCAACTTCTTTATTTTTTGTGTAGCTTAAACTCTCCACACTGGGTCATTCAAGTCTTGAGTCACCAGAAAAAAGAAGTTGCTGTTTAAAGTATGGCAGACAACCAAAAGTTCAGACAGCTGCAATGAAGGATTAGTTGTGGGTTTTTCTCGCTGCCTTGCTACAAACTGCATCACAGCTCTATGTTCAAACATTATTAAATGGGAATGTTTTCTCTGGCACCAACTACTTCTCCCCACAGTTTAAGTATTGATTTTTTTTTAACTGAAGTAGCTTTGGTTTACAGCTCACATTAGAACTTAAAAACATATTTCCATAGTAGCTGGCATATGCAGGCAACTGTTTATTCTCAGTACCAGCCATAATAAACACTTGTACTTTTATAATCCAACAAATCTTTGTCTAATCACAACTTCGTTTTCAGAGCTGTAAAATTTGCATGCTATTTAAACCATTTTTAAGGAAGACTCTTTAGAAAACGAAAATTTTCTTAGTTGTCTTCACTGTCCGTACAGACCAATAATTAGCAGTAAAGAATGCGTGCAATAGGATAGATATGTACTGCAAGAGAATTGTATTGCAGCATTGAGAAAAACCTTTGTAAAGCAGGGCATGCTAATTGATTTTCAGAGGAATTGATTGTTTTTTAGAGACAAACCTTTATGTGATCTAGAACTTATTCTGGTACGTGTGGGAAAAGAAGGTAAATCCTTGATTGGATAAGATGGGTTTTTCACTTGAACTGAGGACAGCATCCAACTAACTTTTAAGTTTATCTTTTAGTATTCTGAAGTGGTAAAGCTCTGGAAAATGGAGCAATTTGAATTCTCTTTTGGCACATGCACTGTTAACAGAATTAATGAAGTTCTGCCTGCAGAATGATTACAGTGAATGAAAGAGCCCTGCATGGTATTTGACTTCCTGTGGAATTTAACAAAATTGAACATTGTATTGTATTTTGTTATTTGATGCTGGTTATTGGGAGTCACCAATACACAGCGAGTATGGAGTCTGTGATGCTGTCTTCTGGGAACACAACTGAGCTAGACTTGAGTAAAATCACTACTGATGTTTTTCATTTTAATACTGATATTTATGATGATGAACTAGTCAGGATCCAGAAGACAAAGTACAGGACTGTGTACAGGCTCCTGTGCTGGCCATCTGCCACTAAATGCACTTCATCCACCAGTCACCTATAATTCAGACAGTGTCTGAATTACATGATCACATGCTCAATACATGGCAAAGTTATTACAGACTTGATTGTGGGCAGCAAAGGAGGATCGAAGACTAAGAGCAGCTATAGAAACAGCTAACTTTGTTATCACAGATGTGAGAAATTATCAAAAAGAGTAAGGCTACTGCTCCACAACAGGCAACACTACTGCTGAAGTTGATATGAATCACCAGACGCGTGGTAGCAGAGCTGCATCCAGTCACAAAAAGATGATTGCTTCAACAGAATGATGGCTCCAGTGTCATATCATAGACCTTGTCAAGATAAGAACAGGTGATGGAATATAAACAGCAGAGGCTGCTAACATTGGAGGCAGCAGTAACGGCAAAACTCATAACAGCAAGAATATGGGGTGGCAGAAGAGAGGAAAGAACCGTGTTCCCTCGGCCTCCCAAGAAGAGCTGGCAGGATCAGAAAAGTGGAGGAAAAGACACTAGTTTATTGCAGTCACATGTAAATGTTGGCATTTAACAATAGCAGCAGTGAGAGAAAAGTCAGTTGAAAGAACCTGAGAATGCTGAAAAAAGCCACAATAAATACCGAATAACTGGAAGAGGAGATATTTCTCATTAGAAAAGGACAAGAGTTTGAGAGCTACTTGTACTTATTAAGATTGAACTGGCTTGGGACCATATGGAGTGGAAATTAAGAAAGCCAGAAAAAAATCCACAGACACTCAAACAATGTGAAAAAGTGCCCTTTTTGAAGGCTGCTAGAATAGTAGTTGCCTCCTCAGGTTGAACAGAATGGTAAAGTGTATCAGACCTCATGCAGATTTAAGAAAAATAAATCATCACCTCATGGACATTTTAGTAAACCATGATATTCCCACCTGAGAATGCTGAACGGCAAGGGATTTCAGCTG